TTGACAGAGAGAGACACAGCGAGAGAGGGAACACAAGCAGGGAGAGTGGGAGAGGGAGAAGCAGGCTCCCCGCTGAGCAGGGAGCCCGATGCGGGGCTTGATCCCAGGACCTGAGATCATGACCTGAGCTGAAGGCAGACGCTTAATGACTGAGCCACCCAGGCGCCCCCACCTTTTCTTAAATGTATATAAAATTGAAGACAACTGTCTCTGAGTTTAGAAACTCCCTCCTGTCACAGAGACCTAATATTCAAATGTAAACTAAGACTTCTTTTTTTTTTTAACAGGGTGAAATAAAAGGTAGGGCTCTCATTCCCTTTATGAGAGTTGAAAAGCCTTTATGATAAATGGCGTCTCTTCCTGGTTAAAGGATTTTACGATAGGGAATTGTCTCTACTATACCCTGAAAATTTCTTCTGTCACTCTCTCAACCAAAATATATAGAGAGCACCAGGTACTGTGTTAAGTGCTTGGGATATGAAATGAAAATGAAATAGAAAAGGCATAGTTGTCCTAACCTAAAGAAATGGAAGGAACTACAATACGAACTTGCAGGATATAATTAGAATGTATGGTTCGGGTGGGGGGGAGGGTATCTGATTTAGTCTTTGGAATTGAAGCATATTATGGTACCTTGATCATTATGATGGTGAGAGATGGACAAACTGGGACAGCAATGTAGGAGTTACTATAATAATGAAAGAATTATCTATAAAATCTTCGCACAGCATCCTTCTCTGACTCAAACTTCAGACAGAGAATGTGCTGTTCCTAGATACTGATAAGATAGCAGACAGACACTGGTAAGCGTCATGAGAACAAAAAATATCACTAAATTCCTCAAGTCCCAATGATCTCCCTCTTCTGTTTCCCTGGACTTGAAGAGACCACAGATACAAAGCAGAATGGAGATGCTCATGAGGCTAGTGGTCCTCTTATAGGAATTATATAGCAGAGGTGGAACAACCATGAGTTGGGGATGATGCAGAGGAGACCCCCACATTGTGTGCGACATTCATTATATTTTTTATTTTATTTTTTAAAGATTTTATTTATTTATTTGAGAGAGAGAGAGAGAACGAGCAGGGAAAGTGGCAGGCAGAAGGAGAAGCAGGCTCCCCACTGAGCAGGGAGCCCGATGCAGGGCGTGATCCCAGGACCCTGAGATCATGACCTGAGCCGAAGGCAGATGCTTAACCGACTGAGCCACCCAGGAGCCTCTTTATTTTTTTTCAGATTTTATTTTTAAGCAATCTCCACACCCAACGTGGGGCTCAAACTCATAACCCCAAGATCAAGAGACCCATGTTCTGCTGACTAAGCCTACTGGGTGCCCTGGGACATTCATTTTAAAGAGGTCATCCTGGTAGTAGTGATACAAACAGGAAGGGGAGGGTGTTACTGAAGACAGTTTGGTCAACCAAAGAAATCACGACTCTTAGGTAAGACATAAGACCTCATGAGTTTGAAATGTATGGCACGCTCTTGTTTTGTCATTGTTTTAACATTATTCTTGCCTCTTTCCAGGCAATTTCCATAAGTCATATGGAAGCAGGGAACCAAACAGTGGTTTTAAAATTCATCCTTCTGGGACTTTCAGAAGATATGGACTCGCAGCCCCTCCTCTTTGGGCTGTTCCTGTCCATGTTCCTGGTCACTGTGCTTGGGAACCTGCTCATCATCCTGGCCATCAGCTCTGACTCTCACCTCCACACCCCCATGTACTTCTTCCTCTCCAACCTGTCCCTCCCTGACATAGGTTTCCCTTCTATCACTGTCCTCAAGATGCTAGTGAACATCCAGACACGGAGCAAAACCATCACGTATGAAGGCTGCATTACCCAGATGTATTTTTTCATGATTTTTGCTGGACTAGATAATTTGTTCCTGACGGTGATGGCCTATGATCGGTTTGTGGCCATCTGTCACCCGTTGCGCTACACGGTCATTATGAACCTTCACCTTCACCTTTGCGGTCTCCTGCTTCTGCTTTCTTGGTTAATCTGCCTGACATTCTTTGTTGCAAAGCTTGATGTTTTTGAGGGTGTCCTTCTGCAAAGAGACAGAAATCCCCCACTTCTTCTGTGCACTTACTCAGATCCTCAAGCTTGCCTGCTCTGACACCCTTGCCAATGACATCCTGCTGTATTTTGTAACTGGCCTGCTGGGTGTTATTCCCCTGACTGGGATCCTTTTTTCTTATTCTAGAATTATCTCCTGCATAATGGGCATTTCCTCTGTTGCAGGGAAGTATAAAGCCTTTTCCACCTGTGGGTCTCACCTCTTGGTTGTCTCCTTGTTCTATGGTGTAGGCCTTGGGGTCTACCTCACTTCTGGAACAACCCATCCCTTCAGAAAGGGCTCAATAGGCTCAGTGATGTACACAGTGGTCACCCCCATGCTGAACCCCTTCATCTACAGTCTGAGGAACAGGGACATGAAAAGGGCTCTGAGGAGACTTTTCAGGAGAGGAGCTTACTCTCAGTGAGATAACCAAAGCTAAGGACAGACAACAGAGATCCAAGATGCTGATAACTGGTGTTCCTGAATATGTAATCTGAAGACAGAACATAAATAATATTCATGATTTACTAGAAGAAAAACATCCCTGAACCGAAGACAGACTTCAGGCAGCACACCAAAAGTCTTATCGTCCATCCAAGAAAAAGAATGGTCAACCAATAACTAAACTTCTCATGAAAACACACTATTTCAAGGACACAGACTCCTGTAAGCATCAAGGGAGGAGAAAGCAAATCGAGGAGTGCATTGGGGAAAAGGGGGGCAGGAGTGACAAGTGTTTCACGTTACTGACTCAACTTTACCCTTCTCAGTTATGTTCTAGCTTCTAGCACTATGAATGCTGGACCATGGGTTTCCTTGGTCTCAGTGTGGAAACCATTACCTATCTGGACGGGGTCATACTGACCTCCCTCACCCCATAAAACTTTACTTACTAAATCTTGGTTTGGTGGTGGCCATTGACCTATACTTAGGATGTTAATAAGAAGCTTCCTTAGGAAACTCATTGCAGTGTCTATTTTAAGTGAAAGAAAATCCTGGCCTTCGTTGATCCATATAAGAAGCAATCTACTTGCTATCTTCCTTGCCTGGCACACACTTTGCCAAATCTTCACGTGCCTGGCTCCTTCTCAAAACCAGGCTTCAAATCAAAACCGTCAGCTCTTCAGGGGCCTACCCTGACCAACAACCCCCTACCAGTCCAGATTTCATAGCATTTGCCATATTTTGAGGGACAGCAGAGCACAGTGACTAAGAGGGTTCTGGGTGCAAATCTGCCATTATTCACAATGGTGCGATCTTATACAAGTTACTTCTCTGTGCCTCTTTGCCCTTATCTGTAATAATGATGACAATACATTTCTTGAAGAGTTCTGGTGGGGATCAAATATTTTGCATAAGAGCACTCAGACCAGTGTCTGGCATAAGCATTCAGTATGTGTAGCCATCATGAGCCATGAGGGCCACCAAGGTCTATGTTGGCCACTAAAAGGTGCAGAGATTGTGAACAGTCACCATCCCTTTAACCTTATTAACTACAATAGCTTGCGCTGCCAAGGAGCGAGGGGGACCATACAGGGGAGGGATCCATTACCAGCAGGACAGATTTGGAAAAACTGACTAGAGAGGATTGAAGAGGCTATGGGTTTAGATGGAGCTGGGTCCATCTCCAGAGCTGACTCAGGGCACCAAGGAAGCCACATAGGAGAGGGGTTCTGTTCAAAGCTGAGCCCTCTGAACAGCCCCAGGAGCACCACCACTGGAGGTCAGATCTGCACAGACCAGGAGAGAACTTTCCTGAACCTAGAGATTAAGGATTAGAACAGGAAGTGGCCCCAGACAGAGACTCCCTATAATAAGGAACTGAGAGGGCAAAGCATCCTTTATACTGGTTGAGCTAGCCTGGGTAGAATGGATAGATCTCTTGAACTGAGAGCAAAAAATGTCTAAGGCCGATTTGAGGACTGTTGAACCCTCTTGGTGGTCACTAGATTTGGGCTCAGGCAGATTCCAATGTTTGAATCCTAACTTTACCATTTACTAGGATATTTACTCTCTGCCTCTAAGCAACCTCAAATTCTTCATTTGTAAATAACTGTTGGGGTGATTATAGAAAACTAGTGTTAATTGTCTTTATATAGAGATTCTCACAAAATAGTGGGCACCGTATTTATAAGCACAGCATTTCTTTATTTGTGTCCCCATCTTGTGCCAACAAGTTAGATCTATTGGCAGGATCCTGCCCCTTGGAAAGCTGTGCCCAGCTGCATTCTTCCCAGCAGATGTTTGAGGGTGTAATACAAACCGACTGCGTCTCAAACAAAAATCACTTTTTTCAGTGCAATAAGGTCTTAGCTTCCAACCTTTCCATGAAACTCCTTCCCTGGAGACCTGGGCAGAATTAGATGAAGCCAAGAGGACAGGACCATCCTAATGAGCCTGGAACAGTATCTGATTGCCTTCTGTCTCCCACTTAGTGCTTATTATAGAAATTATTACTCTACCACAGGGCTTTTCAACCTGGGTACTGTTGACATTTGGGTCCAGATTACTCTTTGTGGTGGAGGCTGTCCTATGTGTTGTAGGATGTTTAGCAGCTTCTGTGGCCTCTATACACTAGATACTAGTGGTGTCCTCCCCAACCCTAGTCATAAAGATAAAAAATGTCTCCAGACATTGCTAAATGTCCCCTAGGGGCAAAATCTCTCCTGGATGAGAACCACCTGGCCTGTCATGACACAAAGGAGTCAAAGAAAGGAAAAATGCGGGAAATATGAAGTGAGGGGGGAAGACCCTAGTTTTCCTAAGGCCCAGGATAGAATGGACCCAAGATACTGGCCTCTAGTCAAGAGTGTTTGCCTGCAGGAGGCTATAGGTCAGGAATGAAAGCACCAGTGCACATTTGTTGAGTAAAGAGATGAACACATTCAGTGATCTCAAAACCCCAGGGGAAAAGAAACTTGTCTGTCCTTATTATCTGCTTTAACTCCAATGCCAAGTGTGTGGAACATCTCAGTAAATACTTGTTTAAATTGACTGGTGCTCACAGTATGTCAGGCCATTAGTCCAGCACCTACATGTGTTAACTCAGTTCATCTTTACGACCACCTTGAGGAAGCAGATGCTATTCTCTCCACTTTGTAAAAAGGGGAATAGCAGCAGACACTGCGAATTCACAGAAATCACTGTGACTGCATTATCTGAAAATGTCTTCTGCTGATCTCTGAGGTGAGACATTCCTATGAATTCCGTCTCCAAGTGGATTCCTTTGGGGGAAAGACATATCTCTCCACCTGCTGACCTCCCTTCTTGGAGGAGCTCTGTCCTCCTTAGGTCTGAGGCAGGACGGATGTCCCGACAGCCAATAAGGTGCACTTTCTCCCACCAGCTGAAGGGCTAAGAGGTTCTTTTGTACAAAGTTGGCTGAGTCTCTATGGCCTTGTCTCAGGGATGTGGACCACCCCCCCTTGTCCCATCTAGTGGCCAAACCCAACTCCATCAAGGACTATTGCCTAAACTTACCATAAATCCCATTGGAAACGACTGGAGACACACCCAGGAAAAGAAAACATAGGATCAAAGGCCACTGTCATCCAACTGATTCATACTTCTCTACTAAAAAGGGACTTCTACCAACCAACCAGATAGGATCCCATCCATAGACAACACCTATCATTTCCAATGCCCAGAAAAGAGATATAAAGGCTCTAATGTCTCTAAAAACACAAATGAATGGTGGGCCTCCGGTAGAACCTGGCTGGAAAGTGCTGCTTTCACCTGCCTCCATCAGGACTTAAAGGTACAGAAACATGGAGCCAGTGATCAGAGCTTGCAGGGTTTACTCTGCACCAGAAGTTCACAGGAGACAAGGGAATTAGCCAGATTTATGGTTTTTGAGGCCCTTCAGATAGGAGCTGCTTATTGCCAGGGTCTTGGCAGCTGTACAAAGAATTTCAATCTCATAAAAGACTGTGCTTTGGTCTGCCGAGCTGATCAGCTTCTCACTGGTAAGCCGAATTTTCTCCCATTCCAGCACACTTTGTTTCCGTGCCTTTACACCACGTGCTGTTTCCACATGTGACTCTAAGGCACTCCAAACAAGTGCCCGCTCAGATCCCTGCATCTTCCACCAGAGGGCACGAGAACCTCCACCTTGAGTTCTGTACACAAGGCCAAAACTTATCAAATTGTTCAAGCATGTGCGGCTCATTATGTCAGTTGTATCTCTATAAAGCTGTTCTCTCATTTGGACTTTTTTAAAATTTTATTTAAGAGAGTGAGAGAAAGAGAGAGAACGAGCAGGGGGTAGGGGTAGAGGGAGAGGCAGATCCCCCAGCTGAGCAGGGAGCCCGCCTCGGGACTCCATCCCAGAACCCGAGCTGAAGGCAGATGCTTAACCGACGAAGCCATCCAGGCGCCCTCTCATTTGGACTCTTGCAATTAGAACACTGGCTCTGTGGAGACTCCAGAAATGGCCACCATTTCTTCCCTTTCCTGTACCCACACCCCTTCTAGGTGACTGATTCCCCCTCCCCCTCCGCTCTGGGCCCAGCCATGTGATTGCCCTGGCCAATGGGGTGCAGACAAAGATGACACAAACAGGGACTTGACCAAAACTTGCACAGGGGAGCTCTTGATCTTCTGGAATGCTCTGGCAGGGCAGATACAGGCCTTGTCTGGATTGTAGGAGGAGGACGTCTTGAGTGAAGGCGCTGACAAGCCAAACTGGAAGCCCATGGCAGACACGAGGGAGCCTCGCCAGGCACAGCCCAAACTGTCAACCAAGAATAAACCATATGGTGGTGGTTTTAAACCACTGTTTTGGGTAGTTCATTATGCAGCAAATATAAATACATTCTACTAAAGGGCCCAGGTTACCTTTCTAAACTGCAAATCTCATCAAACATCAGTGGATTTCCATCAACTTCCAATTAATGTTTGAGACTGATACATAAAATGTTGATGCATACGTTGTGTATTATGTAATCCATCCCACGTTACCCCTCCGGCTTGATCTACCATTTCAAAGAGAATTCTGTTACCTGTCAGAGAATGTGATTTTTGTCTGTGCCTTTGCACCTGGGATTGGCAGGTTTATTCAATTCTGATCACGAACACTATACATAAGCCATCTACACTTAGCTTGCATCACCTCTATGTGGCTTTCGTTGTCAATATACCCTCCTTGGGACTTCCTGAATGGACTAACTGCCCGCACGAGCGATCTGTTTACGTATCTCTCCTCCTAGACCTTGATTTCCTTGAAGACAGTACCTTGTCTTGTCTCCCTTCTCAAAGTCGAATTCAGTGTGAGGCACTTCACTGATATTCGTTGGCTCCTTGGAGGGTAACCTGAGTGGACTGGAGTTACCCAAACATTAGAGGATAGGGCTGGTTCCTATTGGAAAAACCCAAAGCACAGAAAGCTAGAGTGAGACATGGAGACTGGGTAAGAGTAATTAGAGG